TAATTTCTTCAAGAGCTCCCTAATAGGATTGAATGTGGAGAAGAATGAAATGGAAATATTTGCAGACAAGCTCAATTGTGCTATCGGTCAGACCCCCTTCAAATATCTGGGGGTGTTGGTTGGCTCAAATCCAAAAGACTATCCACATGGACCCCAGTGATTGACATGATAAGAAGGAGGCTGTCTAATTGGAAGAGGGATACACTATCTTTTGGTGGACGCATTATCCTTCTAAATTTTGTCCTTTCAAGCATCCCAGTGTATTACTTCTCAACCCTTAAAGCACCAAAACAGGTAGTGCTTCTACTCACTAAAATTCAAAGAAATTTCTTGTGGGGGAGGGGGGGAGTGAGGGTCATAGGAAGATGGCTTGGGTTAAATGGGAAAACATTTGCAAAAGGAAGTTAGAAAGGGGTTTAGGAGTCAAAGAACTTCAAAAGTTCAATATAGCACTTCTAGGGAAATGGAGATGGAGAATACTAGAAGGAAAAGAGGCATTGTGGAAACAGATTTTGGAAGTTAAATATGGAATGGATAGAAGGAAGGTGTGGGAAGGCAGCAACTAGAAGGGATCATGCTCGACATGGTGGAGGAATTTATGGGAGTTAGATAGTGTAAAGGGTGTGAAAGAGGGTTGGTTTAAGGAAGGGGTAGTTAAAAAGATTAGGGAAGGAAAAGATACGTTGTTTTGGCATGAGAAATGGGTAGGGGATAGGCCATTAAAGGAGAAGTTCAATAGGTTATTCAATTTGTCTAGAGAGAAAGATGCTTGTATTGTAGACATGGGACAGTGGAATAATGGAGAGTGGACGTGGACTTGGAGATGGACAAGGAACCTATTTGTATGGGAAACTAATTTGCTACAAGAACTTTGCTCAATGCTTGAAGGAATAAAACTAACACAAGGCAAAGAAGACAATTGGATATGGAAACACAACTCAAAAGGCAGTTACACCGTGAGATCAGCCTACAACATCATAAACCAGAATCAAGAAAGTAGACAGGATGCTCAATACAAGCTCATATGGGACAACAAACTACCTTTGAAGATCTCTGCTTTTGCATGGAAAGCCCTACAGAACAGGATCTCAACCAAAGACAACCTGTTGAAAAGAGGATTAATTAAAGATAACACAGAAGCAAAATGCATCCTATGCGGAGAGAAAGCTGAAACATCAACACACATCCTCTTCTCATGTCCAATCTCATGGAAAATATGGTGCATGTGCTATGATTGGTGGGACATCCAGACAGCAACACAAGAAGGAGGATGGAATCACCTAAAGCAACACAAGGGACTGGTAAATAACAAAAATATAAATCAGATTTGGATGTCCAGTTGGTTTTTCACTGTTTGGTCTATTTGGTTATGCCGGAACTCAATAATTTTTAAAGGAGAGGCTGTGAATATTGAACATGTTTTTGATCAAATCAAGTTTAGTTCCTTCGCATGGATCAAAGCAAACAGGTTGCCGGATTTATCCCAATCACTTTGGTACAATCAGCCTAAGGAAGCCTGCAAAATACATGCACAGTAACTCCCTCTTTTGTTTTGCTACATAGAAAGAAACTTGCTCTTTGCTGAAGCTAGAGTACGACCTTTCACCGTCCCTGCTACTTCTTTTGGGATTAGTACTGTAAATGGATTGAGGTACCCCTTGTACCTGATCAATAAAATTCTCTTTGATGATTAAAAAAAAAAAAAAAAACTAAGCACCAAATCCAAAAAGACTATAAGTTGAAACTAGTGAAAAGTGACCTTAGCAAAAAGAAAACTTAGTTGGTGATCCACTATGCAATTGGAAAATCTTTGCCAATTATGATAAAAATGACAAGTGTTTCAAGGTGAAGACATATTACAAGGAACACACATACTTTAAGAGTTTGAAATCTAACATGGTCAGGTCAAAGGTTCTTGAAAAACACCATAGGAACAAACTTGTTGCAAATCCACACATCAAAATCACCGAGTTAGTTAGACTTTCCCATTGAGAATTGAGGGTTCATGTCTCAAGGAATAAGTGTAAATTGGCAAAGGCTAAGATTTTGAAGGAGATGAAAGAAACTTACATGAAAGAATTTGCTTAATTGAGAGGATATGTAAAAGAATTATTGAGGTTATCACCTAAGTCAAATGTGCAAATTGATACTAAGCCACCCACAACTCTAGAAGGAAAGCCTAAGTTTAAAGGATTTATGTCTACTTAGAAGGATCTAGGAATTGTTTTTTATTGGATTATAGACTAGTGATTGGAGTAGATGCTTATGTTTTCAAGGGGATGCTTAAAAGAACCTTTTTGACAGTTGTTGCAAGGGATGAAAACAATCAAATGTTCCTAATAGCATGGACTATTGTTGATTCAAAGTGTACAAGCTCATGGACATTCTTCTTTTAAATGCCTAGCAGATGATTTGTCAAATCACATTGGGATAGACTTAACATTTATTTCAGAGCAACATTCTATAAGTGTAACACTTTATGTCCTTTAATTTTGTAACAATTTACGTTTATGTTACTTTAATCATCAATGTCGTGCGATTTATGTAATATTCTTCTTTAATTTATTATGAATAACTAATTGTCTTTGGTTTTTTTTTTTTTTAATTAAACACAATTTGGTAAGGGTTGATTTATGCAAGGCAAACAGTTTTCCCTAAGGTTAGGCATAGGTTGTGTGTTAGGCATATATATGCTAATTAGCAAAAAGGTTTTAGAGGGAAACTACTAAAGAAGAGGTTTTGGATTCTATAAGGCCAACTTATGAGAATGAATTCAACAAAAACCTAAAGGGGTTTTATAAGGCCTTCTTTGAAACATTGTGTAAGTGTAATGTGGCAGACAATAACATAAATGAGACCTTTAACGTTAGATAATGGATGCAAGATACTTGCTAATCATTCAATTATTAGAATGTATAAAGGTTAAGGTTATGGTTAGGATGGCCAAAAATAGAGATGAACTCAGCAAGTGGAAAGGAGATGCAACACCAAGAATTAGAAGGAAATTAGAAGCAAAAAAGATGGAAACAGCCAAATGCAGATGTGAATGGAATGGGAGGACTCATTATGATGTTTGGCATTGGAATGATAAATTTTTTGTAGACTTGATTAGAGAAAGTATAGTTGCAAAGCATGGAATTTAATAGGTATTCTATGTCCTCATGCATTGTATACAATAAGTTTAGGAAACATCAATCCAAATGAATTTGTATTAGTTTGGTACAAAAAGGTTAAGTATGAGCTACATATAATGTACCAATCATGCCTTATAATGGTGAGCAGTTTTGGGAAAAATTTCATGGTGAACCCTTGGAATCACTTCCTTTTAGATCCAAGCATGGAAGGCCAAAGGTGAATAGAATGAAGAGCACTGATGAAACAAAAAGGGTGAAGGTAGGACAACTAGAAAAGATGACAAGGGTAGGAGTGAAAATAACATGCTCCTTGTTTAAGCAACCCAAACACAATGAGAGGCTGCCCAAAAAGACCAATTGAAAGTGAAGTAAGTTAACTATTTATCAACAATTTATTATACACAATATTTTTTTTTCTTAATTCTTGATAGGCAACATTCGAAAAAACTAGTGAGTCAATAGCAAGAAAACCCCCAACTTGTTGATATTGTAAACAACCTAAGCACACAAAGGCATGTATTGTTAGGTTTATAGTTAATGATAATGTAAGTATACTTTATAATTGTTAATTTTCTATGACTTTGATAGTGTAAAATTGCTAATTATTTAAGTTTATTGTTGTTGCTATTATTTATTAAGTAGTCTAGCCAATATGATAGAATGGGAAGAAAAAGAAGATATAGGTTTGGTGAATACATCAATTCATCAAAGTTAAACCTTGTGAGTTTTTTATTTAACATTGAGTTGTAATGATAATTGTTTTACTCACATTTATTTTACACTAATTAAATTAAATTTTGCAAAAAGGTGCACAAGGAGAGATTGCCATGAGACACACATGCCTTTATCAATTTCACAAGACATGTCCCCCTTGGAAATCAAAGAAGCAAGGATCAAGTTAAAACTGATCAGTTAGGAGGGTTTTTGTTGCTACATGGAAATAAAGTACCTTGTGACAACTTGTGACAACCTGCAGTAACCTTTTTTTTTGTATATAATATGTTAAAGTTTGGAAACTAAGTAAATGATAGGGTCTTCTTTTTGTTTTGTTGGGGTCTATATTTGGCAAAAGTGTGCTAGGACATCATGATTTTGGATTGTTGGAGTATGTCATGTAGCTTTGGTGTAAATGATCAAGGTCTTTCTTTTGATAGATTTTGTGTAAATCTTGCAAGCTATTTGTGTAAATGTAACTAGTTTGGGCTTACATTAACAATTAATGATAAAAAAAAATTTCCTTATTTCTGTGCCTCATATATACTTTACATTAAGAGTATATTATACCTATTTTGGTTTGACCATTATTCAAAAAATGAGAAAATAGAAAGAACAATTAGAGGAATTCTAGAATTGTCATTTACCATTCATTCTATACATTACAAAATACAAAGTTAGGGAGAATTCAATCAGGCCTATACTATCAACATGGGGGCAAGAGTTTATACTGTTCAAAGGCATACCAACACATTGCCCACCAAAAGACAATTATTGCCCACAAATATTGCCTACAAAACACAAGTCTCTCTAGTTACATACCTTCTTAATCTCCAAGACTTTTCAAATCCCTCATCCTATTAGCACCTTTAGCCCAAGTGCTAAATAGGAAAAAGGCCAACACAAAAGCAAGGAAAATAGTCAAAACCAAACAAATTTTGCCATACTTCTTCCATTTCTCAAGCTTTGTAGCATACACCATTGTTTATGTTACCATTATTTTGCAAGCCATTCACTTTCTTCTTTAATGCCTCAATATGTTTCTCTCCTTTTCTTCATGATGCTTCACAACATCCTTAAGAGTTCTGATCCTTTCTTTTGCATCATCCAAATCATTTTCTGATTGTCTTACTATTGTACAACCACAAGATAACTTCCTTGGCCCTAAAAGAGAAATCACGATTACACCATACAAAATACTATTCTATCGTTTTTTCTTCTACAAATGTCAAAATCAAATTCCATTAACATGGAGTCAAAACCATCACTCCATATAAAAAAAAAACCCTAAAACCTTTGAAATTAGGAAAATAGAAAACCTTCAAAATAGCATAGCAAAGAAAACCCCTAAACAATACACAACACACAAGTTAAGAATAGAATTTTAGGGAAGAAATTATGATGGGATTATAGATTAGGCATCCAAAAAAACTTCGACCAAGATTTTTCTCACTCCAAGACATGATCCTTAGAGCCTTCAAACCACAAAAGCAAATTTGAGTTTGCCTTACACAATCATAATCGAATCTTCCAAATTTTGTACGTGTTGAAGCTTTAGAGTTGCTCGAAGAAGCCATGGAGCAAACAAGAAGAGAAATAGGTCTAAAAGTGATAGATCAAAGAAGAAAGATTTCTTTTTTTAACCCAAGGGATCATTTAAATAGATTTTTTCATTCATCTAACTTTCCTTTTCTTTTTTTTTTTCAACTTATAAGTCAAAGAGTGAGGTCCATAATTAAATTGTTTGGTGGTATAGTTCCTGCTAATGAGTAGTCCAAGCTGGACTACCAGTGTGTAGAAAAAGGCCTCACATGTCACTAATATGTATATGTATAATAGAGGCTAATGGTGCACGTGCTGCACAAGACCCCTCAACATTAAATATTGTCTCATTGTCACAAACTCAAAAACCAAGAGGGTAAAAAAATCATATATTATAACATGATAGGTAAAATGTCTCATACTCAAAAAGTTGAAGGGTAAACTATGGGTTTTTACTATGAATTAAGAAATACCAAGTTACCAACAACCTGCCCAGTTAACTTCGGGTG